TGTTGTTCAACACTAGGAAAAAAATGGTAACAGCGGCACATAACTCGAGAACCAACAAAGCCACAGCGCCGCGGAAGAGCGCATTCGATAGCACTTTTAACCCTCTTTCCGGATTGCGTCCTCAGATTTGACCCCCATGCCCACGGTCAGGCCTCTAGAGGGCAAAAAAAAAAAAAACAACGAAATAACTGGTTTACAGAAAATGTTTTTTTTCAACCACCTTGACTCAGTAGAGCCACGACATTACTTTGCAAGCATCGTACTCCTCTCGTCGAGACGAGTCGACAGACCATAAGTTAACTCCTAAATGTTAACTTGAAAATTTGACTGCTGGTCAAGGTCATGACCCGACCGGAAAAGTTCCCGGCTAACCAGCCGACCGCTCCCGGCTCACCAGCCGACCACTCCCGGCTCACCAGCCGACCGCTCCCGGCTCACCAGCCAACCACTCCCGGCTCACCAGCCGACCACTCCCGGCTCACCAGCCGACCACTCCCGGCTCCCCAGCCGCCCACTCCCGACTTACCAGCCGACCACTCCCGGCTTACCAGCCGACCACTCCCGGCTCACCAGCCGACCACTCCCGGCTCACCAGCCGACCACTCCCGGCTCACCAGCCGACCGCTCCCGGCTCACCAGCCGACCACTCCCGGCTTACCAGCCGACCGCTCCCGGCTCACCAGCCGACCGCTCCCGGCTCACCAGCCGACCGCTCCCGGCTCACCAGCCGACCGCTCCCGGCTTACCAGCCGACCACTCCCGGCTCACCAGCCGACCACTCCCGGCTTACCAGCCGACCACTCCCGGCTTACCAGCCGACCACTCCCGGCTCACCAGCCGACCACTCCCGGCTTACCAGCCGACCACTCCCGGCTTACCAGCCGACCGCTCCCGGCTCACCAGCCGACCACTCCCGGCTTACCAGCCGACCGCTCCCGGCTCACCAGCCGACCGCTCCCGGCTCACCAGCCGACCGCTCCCGGCTCGCCAGCGGCCGTACCGGCCGAATCATCCAACCACACTCTACCCCCAGTCATGCTCACTCACCTCCCATGTCCTTCCTCTTCTCTCGTCTGTGAACAGGGGTGTTCACGGGCACCGCACACTGCTGCGTGCGGTGTGTGCGGTGCGTCCAGCAGGCCGCGCCACCCACGATGATGGCCGTCGCCTCGTCTGCGGTGCCCCGCTGTCTGTCATGAATAAGACCCCTCTCTCTCCTGGTCGCGCAGTCCCCGTGTGGGCGGACCCCACTGACTGACAGGTTGATATATCGGTGATGGGCTGTTACACTGGCACGGCCGGCCGGTACCGCTAGGCGCTTACCCCTCGCCCACCGCCATACCAACCGTCATACCATCATCCGTTCCTACCAACCGGCCACATCGGCCGACCACCCGGCTCCATCAGCCGACCACCCGGCTCTATCAGCCGACCACCCGGCTGCATCAGCCGACCACCCGGCTCCATCAGCCGACCACCCGGCTGCGTCAGCCGACCACCCGGCTCCATCAGCCGACCACCCGGCTCTATCAGCCGACCACCCGGCTGCATCAGCCGACCACCCGGCTCTATCAGCCGACCACCCGGCTGCATCAGCCGACCACCCGGCTCTATCAGCCGACCACCCGGCTCCATCAGCCGACCACCCGGCTCTATCAGCCGACCACCCGGCTGCATCAGCCGACCACCCGGCTCCATCAGCCGACCACCCGGCTGCGTCAGCCGACCACCCGGCTCCATCAGCCGACCACCCGGCTCTATCAGCCGACCACCCGGCTGCATCAGCCGACCACCCGGCTGCATCAGCCGACCACCCGGCCACATCGGCCGACCACCCGGCCATTCCGGCCCGATCATTCCCGGCCACACCGCCGACACTCCCGACCCTGCGGTGTGACACCCACTCGGTGAAACGTCAGTAGAACACAAACCCAGTGATTCCCCCTCTCCTCCGGGTGAGTCACTGCCTGCCCTCCCCCCCCCCCCCCCACCTCCCCTCCAGACGGTATCCCGCTCCTTCGCTCCCTGTCCCTGCCCCTCTGCCCGTTTGTCCCGGCCTTGCGCCGCCGTCCTAACTAAACATCATCTCCGGTCTCGGCTGTGAACCGGCCGTCCCGACCGCCGCCATCGGACACTGCTGACCCAAAAGACGGGCTGTTTGTCGGACCTCCACCCCTCGTCTCCGCCGAATGGGGCTAGCCGCCGGCGACGCCCGCTGGCCCATAGACCCGCGTCTATTCACTATAGGCAAACAGGCTGCGTCCGTGCTACAGGGCGCGCTAGCCGCGATACGCGCCTGACTTGTGCGTTTGCGAGGTACTTACATACGTATGTACCTCGCCACTGACCGCCCCTGCAGGCGCCACATTAGTAGGTAAGTACCACAATCGGTCCTCGAACATTAATGAGGTCCAAACTCAGGTCAGCTCCCGTCCTGACTGAACACAGCAGAAAAACGACGCCTCAACAGATACCACCTAACGTCAGCCCGGTCAGCGCCTGAGGCATTTCCTTGCGCTCCTTCACTCGGTTCAGACGCCATTCATGATCCCGGTCCCTCGTGGCGGGCAACGGAAGACAGAAAAACAAGCCGTTCATGGCCCCTTACCTGTTGTTCTTGACTCCCTTCCCCTTGGGTCACCTGCTGCCGGTCCTCTAGCCTCCAACCTCCTTCGCCGAGTGCGAATCCCCCGCTGTCGATCTCGCCGACTCCCATCTCTTTCACTGATCAACACTGAACGTCTCGCCATAGCTCCCTTGCCTGCGCGTCACACCCACGAGCGAAAAAAAAAAATCACTGCTGCACGTCTTGCCGCGCTCGCTGCCCTCTGTCGACTGGCGCCTGGCATGTCCCTCTCCGCTTCCCTCTCGCCCCTGCCTCCCCGCGGCCATGCGCCTCCCGCCGTCCCTCCCCCTCCCGTTGTTCCCCCTCTCTCCCCTCACTTCGCCGTGCGTCCCTATCCGATCCGTCAACATACCTTACCGTCTCCGCCGTTAAGGTGGCTAATAGCGGCAGGACGCCTCATGGTTGACCTGACCTGGACTGACCCCAGCTAGCCTTAAGTCAGGTGAAAGGTCAGGCCGCCAAAGGTCAAATTTTGCCAATGTCAACATTTTTTTTTTTTTAAAGCGGCGTACAACTCGGAAACCAATAGAGCTACCCAGCCGATAACTCAAGAACCAATAGACGCAGCAAAACGCACGAGGAGGCAACCGAAAGAACGCAACGAGACACTTCCGATGAGTACCTGAAAGTTGAATTTCAAGGCCACAGGTCGGGTCAAGGTCAGGTCAAACACATGAAATTGGGCTTTCAGTAGCATGGGTCCAAAACACCTCTGGTGAGTGGTGACCTGACCTTTGACCTGACCGAAAAAGTGACCCAAGTAATTTCGCCATTATTCCTGACGCTTTTTCGAACGTTGCTTTCCCCGTATCGCTACATGGCCCCGGAGCCGAGTTAAGTAGGTATTGGCAGTCCAATGACGTTTACGGCATGTCTGTATGTCTATTCTGTAATTTTATACCTATGATTTTTTAAACATGTGTCGTTTTTTGTCGAAATCTCAAATCATGACGTCACTAAAACCTCGATATTTCAAAATATTTTGAACTGATTTTTGGAAACTTTGTCACAATAAACATCTATCAATTCCCTACATGTAGTATGTACCTACCTACACAAAATTTGGCACAAAAAACATCGTGCCTATGCTAAAATTCTGCAACAGTAATATTCCAAGTGTTCGTGCTTACAAACGGGCCAATTGTCTATATTGACTCTCAGTTGCTCCCGGGTCATGCGCAGCGCCTCGCCGACTGAGCGTAGCCAGGCGACAAGCCAGCCCGGCACCGCAAGAACGGCGCTGCCTCCCCCCCATCCCTCCTCCCGAACCCGTCCCCCGACCGGCGCGGCGTTCCTCAGGCCACAATAGTGACTCCCCTCCCTCAGCTGACCCGTCCTCGGGTGCGGTGTACACTGGACAAATACCCCTACCGGGGCTAACGGGGTCCATGTTTGAACAAGGGATTAAGGGAAGCCTTCAAACATCTCAGACGGAGTTTTCGCCGAAACTACCAGCTAGCGCCATCCACCGGTGAACGGCGGTACTAAACTTCATTCGCTAGTTCCCGAAACGACACACCATGGCAGAATGGACCATTTGGAAACTGGTGCGAATATTATGTTTCCAAAGCCATTATAGGAAGAGTAAACAACTATTCACCCTTGACAATCAATAACCAATAACCGGCATGCACCGAATCCATAATTTAGAAAACAAAGTCTGCTCACTGCTGATATATTTCGTTGAACCATACAGGCTACCGCATATTTCACCGATCAGCGTTCTATCTCGAATGAGCAATGGACATACACTGCACTGGCTGCTGCAGCCCACAAATATCGCCCGGGGATAAATTATCCACTATCGATGAAGGTTGCGCGCCGCCAACATAGCGAAGTATCAGAGAATCTCAACAGATTCCGTACGATGAGGGTAATAAATGGCTTACAAATTCGACCCCTACGAAACTGTAAAAAGCTCTAATTTCCTGAATTGTGACACCGACTAGCCAGCCATCTACCTATTCAAAATATATACACGCTGTAATTAAAGCACAGGCTCTTCAGTAATAGCTGGAATAACTGCTTTCGGTGTAGAATAGCATGGGTGCATTATCCGTGAATGCTAGGTGCGTTTCCAGTCGCTTGGTCTCACGAAACCCGCTTTGGGGGCAATACAGCACCGATTAAAACTGAGCAAACAGTTAAAATACTGGCACCAACTGGCTATCGTATCATCCCGCATCCCATATCATGAATTATTGTATCGTCCGAGCCATAAAACTCGAACTACTACTGAATTACGGTGGTGATCGTTTTAAATACGCGGTCATTTAATTGATATAATAGATATTTTCAATCGAATATAACTATATCAGCACACAATCAAATCCCGACACTCTATGAGGACCCGCCGGTCTGACGCCCCCCCCCCCTCCGATCCACCCCACCCCCCAGGCTCCATCACTGGTCACCCGCGTGGTCCGCTCGCTCCGTCTGTTTAGACTTTTCGAACGCCTCGTAGGCCGCCAGCTCCTTCTTTTCCTTCTTCTGGTTTCGTAGCATGAACTCCATCCTGGAAAAACACGGTAAGACGGCGAGGAAGAGAAATCAGAGACGGAAGAAGTAAAAATTCTTTATAAAGCATCTATCCGAACTATCGGCTTATCCCTAGTAATAACTTTGTCATAAGACATGTATCCGCCCTATCCATATCCCTATCTTAACTTTATCATACCGTTGTGATTGCGGGATGTATCATAGCTCGCCACCTCAATCACATACATCCCCTTCGCCTCCTCAATTCCTCTCTCCCTCTCGCTCTCTCTCTCTCTCTCTCTCTCTCTCTCTCTCTCTCTCTCTCTCTCTCTCTCTCTCTCTCTCTCTCTCTCTCTCTCTCTCTCTCTCTTTTTCTTTCTCTCTCTCCCTCTCTCTCTTGCTCACCTGTGCTCGATGATTCTCTCCACTATCTTCTGCGTGGTCATGTCATTTCCAGACACGAGAGATTTGAACTTGCCGCGTCTCTTGGGTTCCAAGTAGGGATCTGATCCGTCTATATTAACGAGGAAATCAGTCAATTTTCAGTCCAGTCAACAGCACAGGTAACATGGAAGGAGAAACTTCAGTCCACCCACCAGTCAACGAGATATGCTGCTAAATTCACTGTTACTAAACGGATTAATGTTAGACACCTGAACCTAAATCGAGCTCTGTTGTACACCTAGACTAAAGAGTTTTATACACTATAAAGAGGTCTATGAATGAATGTAACCACCTCCTTCCTTTTCACTCGCTTACTCTCTCTCCCCATCCCTCCTTCCCCTCCCCCTCTCTCTCTCTCTCTCTCTCTCTCTCTCTCTCTCTCTCTCTCTCTCTCTCTCTCTCTCTCTCTCTCTCTCTCCCCTCCCCCTCTCACCGACATCCTCCGCCACGGGCGTGTGGCCGTGACACACCACATCCACCCGGAAATGGTCCATCAGCTCGGCGGTGACCGCGTACGGGGCGCCGATCACCACCTCACCCACGTAGCGGCACGCCAGAACAGAGAGCGTCCGCTCGTGCAGGTTCATGATCGGGTAGTTGTAGCCCTTGTAGCTGGCGGCAATCAGGGCGGTCAGACGGTCGTGCGTATAGTGATTTTGGCCCTTACGGATAAGTGTTTATTGTGAGCGAAAAACTTTCCCTTTGCCATTCCCCTAGAGGGGGTACTGACTCCTGAAGAATCGGACCTAATCTAACCTGCCACTAATTTTCCCTAAACCATGCTCCCTTTAAACTGGATATCAATATTTCAAAGAGATAAACGTTGTGAGGAAGATCGTCAAGATATTCATCAGCATTCAGAATTTTAATTGACCAAATCCATCCTGGATTGAATCAGAACATGAAGGACAAAACTACACATTTAGATTGATAAAGAGTCGTATTTAAATATAGTTACGAGTTTTGTAATTTTGGTAATTTACCTTCTGATTCAATTAAGGATTCAGTGGATGAAAATATGGATGTCAATACACGGGCACCCAGCTACCCCATCAGCAGCGATACAGCAGCAGTTCACAGAGCGTCGCGACAGCAGTTCTCACCGGTTCACAATGGGGTCCGTGTGGAGTCCAACGATCAGAAAGTCGCCCTCGGCCGCCGCCTTCTCCAAAAAGTCCAGGTGACCGACGTGGAACAGGTCAAACGCGCCGGCCACGTACACCACACGGTCACCGGGCTGAGGTGTCACAGGTCAGATACGGGTCAGATATGGGTCAGATACGGGTCATGTACGGATCAGATACAGGTCAGATACGGGTCATGTAGAGGTGAGATACAGGTCAGATACGGGTCATGTAGAGGTGAGATACAGGTCAGATAAAGCTCACATGATATTAAAAAGAGTACAATATACAAACAGACAGAGTTCCTCTCCAACTCTAACCGCATTTTATCCTTCTCTCTTTCCCTGTTCTTTCTCCCCGCCTCTATCTATCTATCTATCTATCTATCTATCTATCTATCTATCTATCTATCTATCTATCTATCTATCTATCTCTCTATCTCTCTATCTCTCTCTCTCTCTCTCTCTCTCTCTCTCTCTCTCTCTCTCTCTCTCTCTCTCTCTCTCTCTCTCTCTCTCTCTCTCTCTTTCTCTCCCTCCCACCTTGGGCGCCCGTCCGGATGAGAACTGGATCAGCTGCCGCGTGGTGGGCAGGAACTGAGTGACGCCCGTCCACGGGCTGTGTGCCGTGGCGCCGTGCTCCAGGGACGGCTCCGGCGGCAGGTCAACAGAGTACTCGTCCTTACCAGTCTGTGTGACACAGGTCAGGTCAGGTCAGGTCAACAGAGTTCTCGTCCTTGCCAGTAGCTGTGTGTAAAGGTCATGTCAAGTCAGATCCGACATGATTCACCGAGTTAATGTCCTTTAATCAGTCACATTTTCATCGCGAGTTCAGAACAAAAAGCTAAATTCGTTAAATGGATCAGGCTCACGTACCATATTCCTCAAGTAAAAATGGAAAAGCCTGCCCTCCCGACTGTCCCCGTGACCTGACCTTGAAGTGGGTCCGGGTCATGAGCAGCATCCGTCCGACCAGGTCGGTGGTGGAGACACCCCGTGTACGCTGACACTCTCTGAAACGGGCGGGGGGGGGGGACGAGTTATTGGAGCGGGGGGACCCCGCGTGCGCTGACACTCCCTGAAACGGGCGGGGACGAGTTATTGGAGCGGGGGGGGGGGGGATATCATGTGCGCTGACACTCCCTGAAACGGGGGGACGAGTTATTGGAGCGGGGGAGACACCCCGCGTACGCTGACACTCCCTGAAACGGGCGGGGACCGAGGGGGTTATTGGAGCGAAGGGGCCGAAACACACATACCCCGAAATAAACAGCAAACAGCAGGCGCTGACGGAATCATTACAAAAAGAAAAGACGGTCGAATAGGTATAGAGCTGATAGACTGCACTTGCTGACGTTTCATGTAAACATACGCCGAATGTAAACAGATACAAAGTCCAAACCAGTCGTCTTCGTACTTATTTATTCCTACTAATTCAAACCAGTTCCTTGTGGAGTAGAGAATTTATTTATTTCAAACTCATTCTCGAAGAAGTGTCAGAGTACTGCGGAGTGTGGAGCTTTTTCTGACATTTTTGTAGCTTACTAAAATGGATGAGATTTTCATCATAATACACATCAGTATGAATTTCTAGTGCGGTCATTGTTGGACGACACTCGTCATAATACAGATATAATCAACCAATTAATCACCCTGTGTTTAGTGATACTTTGCAAATAAATAGTCAGCAGCTAATGATAGATTCCATCGAATGACTCAGTGTAATGTTTCGTAGACATCATTAACGTTGGACGAAGCTGCCTCGCGAGTGGATCGTTAATAAATATAGGACCAACTGCAAACAATATTTTCCGTGATACACAGAGAAATAGCACCAAAGATGCGTGTTCCAGTTAGCTCAACATCATTCCGTGACCCCGTTAGGTCAGAATCTGAACCACCTCCATACCCCTGTAATATCCCCGAAAATAGATGAAAATTTTGAAACAACTTTCTGGGCGGAAAATCTTTACTGGTTTATTGCAATGCATGACCGCTGTACATAATAAAAACTCCAAAATCGCTCCTTCATACCCTCTGCCCCGTCACGCTTGAAGCGTAGTTCGAGAGACCCGTCCCCGCTGAGGCCCTGCAATCTGCACTGACAGCTCCAAATCCGTCACTATCAGCACAAACCTTTGCCCTCAAGACGCCATTACTGCTGTGTACTCAGTGCTTACCGCGATACGTGCCACCCCCGCTCCCTGTGGAGGCCTCCCGGGCATCGGTCTTTGGACCGGCATCACGCCACTGACAACCATCCCCGCCCCCTCCACCTCCTTCAACGCTCTCAGGACACGTATCGAGTGATACCGGGTTTTTGACATGCAACTCCCCCCTCCCTTACCCCGCTCTTCAGCGCCCCAAGGCCAGTTGAGTGGCGCCGGATTACGGACCTGCAACTCCCCTCCCCTCCCCGCCCGAGGCAGAGGCACCCGCAGCGTCCTGTCTGTGTCCAGGGGAATGTTGGGGGAATGACCCGGCCGATGCTCTAATTGTTTAGACCGGACAGTCAGCTGACCGAGACGGTGATCTTGAGGTGTGACGTCATGTCACCTGGGCAGACGAACTTTGGCATTGTCTATCGACGGTCGTTTATTACCGAGTTGAAAATTGCCCGATGATGTTTCCCGTTTGTGATCCTACTGTACGTGCTTTGCAATCCCTGCTGGGGAAAAAGCAGCACTGATGCAATATAATGAAGAGCTTTATTAGGTATATAAGGTTTAGCAAAGCAAACCATTCTAAATTAACTCTCATGAACAATCTCATATTAACTACAACACATGACATAACCATTGAGCTACAAAAAGCGAAAAATATATGAGCTGAGGCCTGGGGTACACTACATACACATTACACAATACAAACATTTCAAGATCGATGACTTTCGAGCTAATACATATATTGTGGAACTTAATAGTGTTAGGCAGAAGGTGCCAAAACATGGCCAACATCGTGTTCAACGAATAAACCAGTACGTTATCAGTTTCTTGTTTGGCAAGGCAAGCCCAGCACGGTCATTTTTTTATCCTTAGCACTGCTCCCAATTAGTTGTGGATTTAGAGTTGCAGGTGTCCCGATTATAAAACGCGTTTTGCCGTCAATAACACATCTGTATAAAATCGGTCACAAAAGGCGAAGAGAGCACTTAACCTCGCACGGGAACCGAAACCGGATAGCTGCCTTACAGCGAGTAGCGGTAACTCACTTGTATCGATTGGCTGCCTTGACGATATCCCGGCCGGGCCCGGGGGGTAATCCCAACCACCGCAGCCCGGGGGGGGGCGTTTTTCGCCCCCCCTGTCTAACTCCGTAAATAAGAGAGCTACGGAAACAAAAGCGATACCAAACGAAAGGTCCTTACGAGACGATTCTAATGCACCTAAAATTTTTGACCTCAGGTCAATTTTCAAGGTCAGAGGTCAAGGTCAAAGGCCAAAACCGGCACATGTGTAGTGATCTCAAAGTAAGCCTTCTAGAGGACGGCAGGCTGCATCAAACCGGCAAAATTGGGTGTCAAACGAAAGAAGAGAATCTGAGGATTCTGAAAATGTGCTCTAAATGAAAGGTCAAGGTCAAGGTCACGCTCAAAATTGACCTCAAACTTGGCACTTTTTCGCACATCTTGCGTGCTAACTTCCAAGATGTTTTGAAATGTTTTGAGGCTTATCAGTTCCCTATTTGTGGTTCATCTTACGATACAAGGCTGCTCAAAGGTCAAGGTCACACAAGAGTATCCCTGCTAGAGGCTATTTCACTTATTAAGTTAGTAATAATAAATAAGACAATTTTGCCATCCAGAAGCTCTAAATGAAGGCTTAGAGGAAAATAGATGCCAGATTCGTGATCAGCGGGTACAAATCCATCATAAACGACCTTTCATGTGTCAAGGTCAACCAGAGGTCATTCGAGGTCACATGAGGTCAACATGAAACTTGACCTTTTCCGAACAAAATATATATCATTCGACGCGGCTTGACAAGGCGAATGCGATGGTACCACTGCCGTAGCTCTAGGACCATTTTTGTCGAAGTTATTTGCGAAAAACTAAAACCACATTTCGGGGTCGTTGACCTGACCTCTGACCTCAGGTCACCAAAACTATTTTTCTATTTTTCTATAGGTCAAACGCTACACAGCCGTGCTCGTAATTTGTCTTTATCTCTAAAACTCTATTTTTAGCAGCTATTTGAAGTTTGCGTCTGTGACGCCGAAGTTTGCCGTGCAGGGGTCTAGAAAAATGGACCTTGTGACGTCATCAAGGGGGCTAGGTCCAAATTTTTTACTTCAGAAGATGTCAAATTGATGGGAGAAAAGGTACTGAAAGTTTCGCCTTCCTATCCCTAAGCGTTCGGGAGTTATCGCAAATATTCGCCAGGGGGGGCGAAAAACGCCCCCCCCCGGGCCCGCGAGGGATATGGTAGGTATCGACTCCCTCGGCCGTCATCGTAATATCATCTGTCGGACAATTAAGGGGGGGGGGTCAATAAGCCAGGGTGTAAGCAGTCACTAAACTTACGTACCAAGTGGTGCATATATGATTTGGTGGGACTGGCTGAGGCTCATGTACAGTAAAATGGAAAATGATTTGTAAACAGTTATAAATACCCAAATTTTAACACCTTGTCCACATTATAAATATCCAGTATCCACCTTTCCAGAAATAAGTTTAATACCTAATATATCTAAACATTTGTGAATGATTGTAAGTTGTAATTGTCATCAATATACAATATACATGTTATCAATGCGCCCATGTATTAGAGCGCAAAACACAGCTGGGTGCACGCATTTATTTAGCTATTTCAGCTCAGGATATCAACACACAATGAACATCAGCTGCCACAATGTTCCTTTCAGATCAATATTCAAAATGTGTCGAACCGCTGTAAAGCCGATGCGATTTGATACCGATGATTCAGCTCAGTGATATCTGCACAGCAATGCACCACTACCGACGCCCCTAATACACCGATAGTAGACCAACGATCCCCGATTAACAGGCAGTCACAGACAGTGACGGATTACATCGCAGATAGATAAACTGAGCTTGCTTCGACAGTGAGCCTCACCAGATTCAGTCGGAGATGTTCATTTATTTATTGAGCACAGTTCAAACAAAGGCTGCAGGAGCGCACTCACGGCTAAATTCCTTCTCTGAAATGCTCTTCAGACAATATCTACAGTTGAGTTGGCGGCCATTTAGGATTATTCCGAATGGCCAAACAAACTCAAAACCGCTGTCGTTTTAAAACAGCGACCAAGGCTTTGACGAGCATTTCATAGCATGACGCAATGGTTGACTACTTTTTCATAGGTACGAACGAAACGGGCAACAAATACATAATGCAATACGTTAAGTTGTGAAGTCTTCCCATTGCTGTAAGTATAAAAATGTCAACACAAACAGAACAAAATGCAACTCTGTGTAGCATGTCTGTGAATAGCGAAAACAGAAAAGTCTCGTTCAAAAACCCTATCAATCACCCAATCAACATCTTACGCAAATTTCCTCCAGAGTGGAAAAATTACGCTTGTCAAAATTTCAGAACGCGCTCAACGTCCACAATGCATCCACATAAACGTGCCCTAGATCACAGCCTACCTCCAGGTTTAGCCATACAAACGTGCCCTGGTTCACAGCCTACCTCCAGGTTTAACCATACAAACGTGCCCTAGTTGGTAGCCCTACCTCCGTGCACGCAGAAGTCACACCCGTACTTGTCCAAAGTCTCCAGTGTGGTAACATAAGGGGCCGCTTCCACTACCTCGTCGACCCATTTGATGGCGCGCACCATTTTGTACCTGGTGACACGGTCGGGGTTGGGTCAGGACGTGGTTAGGGAGAAATACCGTCACATATTTCTACCTAACGGTATTTCATAATGTTGTGACGGTATTTCATGCCACCCCCGGGGGCGGAGGGCATGAAATACCGTCGCATCATCTCATAGTTACGAACACCATGGCGATATCAGGATAAAACACCGTTACGGCACATCAATAATACGTGTGATGCAGTGCGCTACTCGTTTCACTCTGTAGGGCTATACCGGAAACATGCACCAGTTGACAACATCCACTTGAGTTTGTTTTATAGATTTAGGTAAAACTCATCGCCCCCAGACAAATATCATGATTGGAATCACACATAGCTTATTAATGGGAATGTATAAGTTTATAAGTGACTAGGTTTCGTTTCTGCTAAACACAATCCTTCATCCGGAAGAAAAATAAGCACTCAAGACTTGCCTCTAAAAAACCTCACCATTCGCCCCTCCCTCACCTGCGCTTTCTGCCATCTCCCGTGGTGTCACTGACCGTTCCTCCTCGGTGAACACGGGCGGCCCCTTGTGCTCAGTGACCTCGGCGTCACTGTGCACCCCCACCATCAGGTAGTCGCCCATGGCTTTGGCCTGACGTAACGAGTTGGCGTGACCAAAGTGCACCATGTTGTAGCTGCGGGAGAGATGCTCGACAGCGCTGCATTTCAGTACTGTGGACGAATATTGACAATAGCTTATGCATCGTGATTGACTGTCCCGTCTGACTAATTCGAATAAGGTGTGGCTGTTGGCGCACTTTGCCCCGCGGCCCGCACCAGAACTGCCCCTGGTATATTTATGCTGTGCCTCGTCGCTTCATTTCATGATTTGTATTCGGTGAGGCAGTGCAGGATTGATGTTGTAGATACTGTTTAGGTACCTATAGGTACCTTCATGTAAGATGTCGGGCCCCCTTCCCCAATATACCCCGCCCCCTTCCCAATACCCCCGGTCTAGGTCTGGAGCCCCACTGATGGACTTGTGTTGATCTCATGGTAGAGTCACAGCTCTTATCCTATAGCCCAGCCTATTTATGGTCGGGCTCGGGAGATTGAAATACACGCAGTCCCTACGAGTTCCAAAATCAGTTGTACCGTGTCTCGAGGGCATATGATCGGAATGATCGTGTTCAGAATTGTTAGCATATCGCAAACATTTTACCTATATTTGTCCCATATTCTTATGCCTGAACAATCTAAAATGTTAACCCATTAACGCCCGTAATTCCCCAGCGAACGCACACGAATGCCCATTTGCTAAATTGGACTAAATGGTCCCCTAAGAGTACCATGTGAGTTTGGTAAATGTGAGAAATCCAGAAATATCCTTTTTTGAAGTGTTACCTTTTGGTACCACTGGGCGTTGGTGACATCATTTTTTGCAAAAACATGCATTTTAGCAGCATACAAGATATGTTTGCCAAGAAGACTTTGCAACTCATTCGTGAAAATTAGAATATTAGACGACATACTCATCGGCAACATTATGGCAAACACTCGCCTCTGATGTTTTCCAAGTTGTCAGATTATGACGTCATTAGTCATTACTGTCATGCTATGCCTAACTGCCATAAAGATCAATGCTATTATTCATAGTGGTGGGTCGGTCTAATGAACTGTACTGTTTTAAGCAAGGCTGCGGAGTCTATGGATTTTCGGTGACCCTGACTCTGACTCCAATTCAGACTGTCACATATCATCTCCGACTCCGACTCCGACTCCAGGTATGACTGTCGACTCTGACCGACTCTAACTCCGACTCCATGTCCGCAGCCCTGGCATGTGCGCGTAGTCGCGGGATTTTCGGTGACTTGAACTCCGGCTTCGGCATCCACAATCGACTCCGACTTTGACTCCGACCTCGGCTAGAGATATCGACTCCGACTGACTCCGACTCCGACTCCGCAGCCCAGGTTTCAAGGCTTGCAGGGTCGTTTATTTTCCTAAAATGCACAAATCTTTCTATACAAATGACAAAACTAACAGTTTTCTGAATGTCATTACCAGCAACCACTCTACAATCTGTTCTATGTCTTTCAAAATTATGAAAACAAACTTGAAGCCCATAATTCAAGAGCCAGCACAGTTTGTAGTTACGGTTCATGCACAGCAAGACACGCGCTATACCAAATCTAATCCAGCAACCAAACGAGACAAATCTCCAAAATGGACTTCAACCGGATCGTGCAGTGCTGCTTGCGCCGAGGCACACGCTGCAGCAGTCAACACGCATACCCTGGTCAATATAGGTCTTACTTTTAGCCGTGATGCTTCTCTCCATCTAAGTACGTCTCCGAGCAGAGCGCCACGCGCCTCTTGCCACAGATGACTTTAGTGGCAACCACGTACTTTGAAGACGCTTTGCCTTCATGGTGGGGCCTGCTCTAATCCAGTGTCGAATCTGTCGCGGCGTAGGTATGCATTCCATTCTCAGGTGTACGTACCACTGACCAAGCAGCAGGTCTGCAGGAACTTGTCTGTCAGTACCATCCGCATCAATATTTCCTCCGTATATTACCTACCCCACAAACTGGGATATGACGTCGTTACCCATTTCTTCCTGAACAACAGCAACAGCCTTCCTAAACAACACGACGATCTCAAAACCGTGCCCCTTCCCCTTCCCCAAGCAAAATTCATTTGGGGCCTTAACCACATGGTTGCTCAACAGGGGTGCCCGCAATAATACCAGCGATTATGGGGCAAAGCATCCTATCCAACATCCATGCATCACGTTAGCAGTGAATGACCAGTCAGCAATGAATGCTCCAGCTTTTTTGGTGGCGACGAAGGCGCTCCCCTCTCCGACCTCTTTTTAGATTCTATGCCGCAAACGGCGCACCATTCAGACTGAGAAACGCTACACAAAAGACTCTCAACCTATGTAGGCACCCTTTTTTCGCATGGAGACGCCCCCATAACTTTCATAGGCGCCCCTCTTTCGCATGTAGGCGCCCCTATGGGCACCAAAGGCGCCTCTGTAGACCTTACAGGCGCCCCTCGTTCCCAGTAAGGCTTCACAGGCGCTCCTCTTTCTATAGGCCTCAGAGGCGTCCATCTTTGGGATGCAGGGACCGATCTTTCGTATGGAAGCTCCACTATGACGTTCATGGGCGCCCCTTTTGCATGTGGGCGCCCCTACATATACTATGGGCGTCATGGGCCTCAGAGGCACTCCTATAGGCTTCGCAGGTCTCCCTCTTTCGCATGCAGGTGCCCCTACGGGCATCACAGTCGCCCCTATGGGCATCCTCATTTGCATTGAGGCGCCCCTAAAAACTTCATAGGTGCCCCTCTTTCGCATATAGGCGCCCTTATGGCCTCAGAGGCGCTCCTCTTACGCACCCAATTCCCTTGGGCGATGGCGTCCCCTTGAGGGATGGCGCCCCAAATAACAATTTGTCCGCATCACTCCGTTGAGCGTTGTTTCGCCTCTGCAAAGACCGCACACGCATGAAATTGCGAAAAAACGCTTAGCCTACCGCCCAGTGGTACCAAAAGGTACCAACAAAAATTATGCCCCTAGGGACGCCAGGATTCATGACAAAACATCTGATTTTCTGCTTAACTGCAGCTGTGAGTTCTTCATCTTTAATGTAAACACACTTTAGCTAAACAAATATTTACAGACAAGCAGCTACAAACGTTTTTATCTCCCCACGTCAGCCCAAGGCCGTATCGTCAGCCCATGACTGCGGCGCCTCGAAACACTCCAAGCTTTTCTGCACCTCACACGAAGTTCTTCGTATCAGCACGTTATTTATACCCAACAGCACATCCGGAAAGGAGGCCATTATCCGATGACAGAATCTATCTGGCGAAAGAACGTATGGTCTCAACGCAGCGAACCAAAATGTGCGTTGGTACCTTTTGGTACCGCTGGGCGTTTTAATTGGTTTCAAACGGGCTTCGCTGAAGAAACTAAATATTGTAACCAGGGCTGCGGAGTCGACGGATTTTCGGCGACTCCGACTCCGGCTTTCAAAAACCAGCTCCGACTCCGACTCCGACTCCGCGCAGAATTGTCGACTCCGACCGACTCCAACTCCCGACTCCGACTCCGCAGACCTAGCAGGGCTGCGGAGTCGACAGATTTTCGGTGACTCCGACTCCGACTCCGGCTCGGGTTTCTAAAATCGACTCCGACTCCGACTCCGACTCCGGTCACAACTGTCGACTCCGACCGACTCCGACTCCGACTCCGACTCCGACTCCGCAGCCCTGATTGTAACCAAATATTTCGGCTTTATTGATTAGCCTTGTTCATTGGTTTGAAGTACACTGAACAATCGATAAGATACGTATCAAATCCTATGTGTCAATGGTGATAATAAAATTATGAAACCTTCAAACAAAATATTCATTTTAATATGCATGTATTTCTTTGAATCAAAGATAAAAGTAACAAATATATGTATTACAATAATAAATATAATAAATATAAGGTATTTTGATTCGTGCTGACGATCAAAATGTAGGTACACAAACTATGTATATAGGTAGGCATAGTCTACATACATATTCACATAAGTATTTACAGATCACAGGTTCAACTATCATACGGGGTAATATGCAAATGCACAAGAGCACGTATAGCAATAACTATAGCCTACACATGTATGTAGGAACAACGTGATAATACACATCAATACAAATCCGACACATTGCGATAGATACACAGATACCTATCGTGCCATCAGAAAAGCTTTCCCTGCCACCACAGCGAATGTCCACGTGCTGTGAGAAGGCCAGCCACCCCCCCCCCCCCCTCCCTCTTCACATACACTGCACACATTGTCTCCGGGCACTCAAGTACACCTTCCCGATCTATTACAGAGATAATTAAAAGCAGAAAAGCACGAATACCTATAGCCTAAGCATGCATGTACATACAATACACAATACACATCATTGAAAACCAACTCTCCACACATTGCACAAACGAGGCACACAAACACCTCAGAGAGGCTTTCCCTGCCATAACAGCGAACGTGGAGAGGTCTACTCCCACCCTCTACACACACGGTATGTACACACTGTCTCCGGGCAGAGAGTCGAGTATAGCTGGCCCCGTCTATACCATGGGAATAATAAAAAGCAGAAAAGCACGAATACAGCTTCACGTGTATGTACACAGTACACATAAATATAAACCCGATTCATTGCGATACATACACAAATACACAGGTCGAACCATCAGAGAAGCTTTCCCTGCCATCACAGTGAATGTCCATATGCTGTGAGAAGGCCACTGCCCTGCACGAACTACACAGTGCGCGCACTTTGATGTCTGGCGGAGTCGAGTGTATCTGACCCGGTATCGTAGGTGTCCATTGTTCGTCAGACACTATGTAGAGTTTGGGGCAGTCTGGCCGTTCAGGCTAAGAAAGACCGGAGCAATCTGACCATCCAGACTGATGGAGACCGGGATAGTCTGGCCGTCAAAACTGATGAAGACCGGGGAAGTCTGGCCGTTCAGACCGGTGAAGTATGCGGTAGTCTGACCGTGCAGACTAATGGAAAGCGGGACAGTCTGGCCGTCCACACTGATAATGGCTGGGTCAGTCTGACCGCCCAGATTGATAGAGACTGGGACGGTCAGACCGTCTAGACTGATAGACGCCGGAACAGTCTGGCCAT